AAAAAGTAACACAGTGATGTGAAAACCGCATCTTTATAGTTATACTCATAATCGAGAAATCCCATAAAACATACGAAAATGGGACATCCTGTATACAAAGTTTATGGTGCGGTCCGAGTAAGTCCAGGTCCGCGGGTCGCCTCCTCGCTAGGCTGTTTACGGGGTCGCGTCCAGAGGATTTGCGGGGAAAGGGGGTAGTTCGCGAGCACCGGCGTGCCTCGCACTCCCCTTCGTTACCCGCATTTTCCGAGGGGGGCCGCGGCACCCTGTGGCCCCCGCTGTTCCCTTTTCAAAATCCCTCCACCGCACCTCACCACTTCGATACCACCCATATTCCCGGTTAAGGCCACGTTTACACAGTCCAAAATCGGATAGAGATAGAATAGGCGTAGAGCATTGAATTAAGGAATCTACGGAAGGATGACGGAAGGTCTTTAATTTTATAAAGCCGGAAGGCAATGTCATACTTCATACCATATCAACATCTTTTTTGCTTGTTTCGTCAGACTTTTTCGTTAGACAATTCTCTCTTGATAGTGTTAGACAAATTTGAATTTTTCAGAGCTTGTATATTTTTATTGTAGAATGTAGAATGAGTGCGAGGGCGGTTAATTACGACGATCTTAAAGATCTTAAGGTCCGACCGAGATCTCGGTCTTTGTTATGGTGGGTTCATACAGCCAAATAAAATAAAATAAGAATAAAATAAAATAAAATAAGAAAGTTGGTTATATGGGATACCGTACATGCGTTCATACAGCCAAATAAAATAAGAAGTCTTTATCTTTTAACTTCTTGTTTTATTTTATGTGAAAACGGCTTTGCGCACGCTTAATTCTAACCTACAAATATTTTCAGTTTGGATTTTATTTATTTTATAATTTCACATAAGTAAAATGTATAATATAGTAGGCAATGAATAAATAAATATACTATAAATAGTAAAATTACTATAAACAATCGTAAAAGTTAACTTTTATCCAGCCTCATCGTACTGCGCATGAGCAAATATATATTTCTTATTTTATTTTATTTGACTGTATGAACGCACACAAATAAGAATTCCTTATTTCTTATTTTATTTTATTCTTATTTTATTTTATTTGGCTGTATGAACCCACCATTACAGTCATTCTCGGCGAAAAATTAGGCCGAGATCTCGGTCTCGTTCTCGGCATAAAAAGGCCGAGATTATCGGCCACGGCCGAGACTGCTCACAATCGTCTAATTAGCTTATTTTTGAGCGTATCGCCTCATCTGTCGATGCGTGGACGAATGAAATGCTCGTCCGAAGTTGGAAAAAAAAGAATGGATCAAATCTGAGCCAAGTATCTGATCCATATATGATCTGATATCTGATTGAATCGCGAAAGGGATTTCCCGGACGGCTGAAGAATCGCCTTCGTATTTCCTTTGGTATATCGATACGTAAACAATGAACGAAATGTTAGATGTTAGTGTCTTATTAATGTAAGTTTACATTAACAGAATTGTGCTTTTATGTGAATTACTCGTATATCCTACTAATAAATAAAATTTTTGTGTGTAATTTTTCACCTCTATACAGAGTTCTGAAACCAGCAGCTTATAAATTTCTAGTCTGCACCATGCACCAACAAGCGTCTCTAGCAAACAACTATTTAGAAAGAATACGCTGCATAATTTGAAAGGATGCAATGCTGAAAAATTACTTTTTTAGTCTATAACATAGACTGAAAAAGTAATTCTATTCGTATTAGTAATTTTATAGTATTAAATCCCAATAAAACCGTTTCTGCCTGAAAATTACGTTTTTATTACATTATTATCAGATTTTTTTTATATAATAAACTATTAAATAAATATTGCATCGTGTCTAGTTCTCGGTCTCGTTCTCGGTCTCGTTTTCGGCCGAGAAATTATTTTTTTCTCGGTCTCGGTCTCGGCTGAGACTAAAAATCTAGGTTCGGTCGGACCTTAAAAGATATATTGTGTCCTTTACTGAGTTATATCTCATAATACTTATAATAATGGGGATTTTAGTGTTGTAAGGGGAACAGGGTATTTCCCATCTTCTTCTGAAAACAGATGCTCTTCCTCCGAGGAGTGGACATCTACCTCCTACGAGGGTATACACTATACACCTTTCCACTGTTGCCAACTTAGCGGTTTTCCCGCTAGATTTAGCGGGTTTATTTTTCAGTTTAGCGAGAAAAATATTATTTAGCAGCTAGCGGTTTTTTAGCGGTTTACATTGTTGAATAAAATATAAGTAAAATTAGCACAAAAATTATTATTTCCATTCTAAAAACAATTTTTTTCAAAATTTCCCTCAATAATCGCGTAATAATCATATATAATATTCTTATAGTACCAAGGCCTAGAATCTTCGAAGTCACTTTAAATTCGTCTCATCAGGTGATAAAAGGTTCAAAAATAGGCGAAAAATAGAGGATATATAAATATATGTCCTCTAATATATATTTTTTTCTCTATTGCCTCCATGGATTTGAGGTCAATTCCTATTGGAAGGACCTGACCACGGCTGGCCCTCCTTCCTCGAGTTGATGACTCGCCAACTCGGATGTCCTTACATTGGTGTTTTGCCAAAGTTGGTGATACGTCCCGATTTGATGATAAACCAGTTTCTGTTGAGACACAAAAACATTTCAAATTTATGATTTCAGTCTAATAACCATTTAGTCAACATGTTTAATTTATGTCAATGATAACAGGTATTGATAAGTTCGATTCCAAATATCTCGAGAACCATTACTCCTAGCGATTTTTACTAAGAGACCTTTATTATGTAAAAAATCTTGTAAATGTATATTTTTTTACTCAGTAGTTTTATACAGGTACGGACGAAAATTTATTACAGTTCAAAACAGTTGAAACACATATAGGTGGCGCCCCCTACAAATAGCAGTCGCCAGAAGAATATTGACATTGTTTGAAGCTGTTGTCAGAAGAATATTGACATCAAAATCAAATTTCTTATATCAGAAAACTCCCAGATACCAATTTTCATCCTAACATTGTCGTTACTTCAGAAATTATTTGGAAAAATCGAAATAAAAATGAAATTTTTACACCCTGTATCTCCGAAGTTTCCGGAATAACAGTTCGGACTAGGGTGTCCCAGAAATAAGTGCAGATATTTTAAGGGTTGGTAGATCTGGCAAAAGAAATATCTTTTCCCTTTACCATTTTTAAAATATTTCAAACCGAGTTATTTAACTTTGGAACTTTAAAAAAATAATGGCAACATTTTGAGAACCGCTGGCGATAGTCGGCTATGAAGGGGGTTTCACAAGGGTTTTCAGCTTAATCGACGCCTCAGATGAATAAACAAGCGGCACTAAAAAGTCTTTTACAATTTACCGGAAAATGTCAAGAAAAATATAAAATTTTCAAATTTTTTTTTTCGCAAAAAAACCTCGTAGGCGCGTTTCTGGGATCAAAATATACTACCAGTTATAATTTGCATACTACCAGTTAATATTTGCACTTATTTCTGGGACACCCTGTATATACAGTGTGTTTCAGAAAACATGTGCCAGCTCTCGTGGGGAGATTCCTCATGTAAAAATATTATTTATTTTTTATATAAACATAGGTCCGATTCTGCTTTGTTTCGTAGCTACAGGGTGTTAAAGTCTTAATATTTTTTCGATTTAATATAATTTTCTTCCAAGTACTTTGAGCGTTACGAATGAAATTTTGAGGGTAAAAGTTACTATAAATGCGACATATTTTAAGGCTAAAAAAGTGTCGCCATATTCACCAGGGACGTGCATATGGGTTATCACTGGAATATTTTTCTAAAAAAAGCATGCACGCCACTGACTTTTTTCTCTTGTTAGCGAAATAGTGTAAGCAGTTTAATGCCTATTAAAAGTTGTCTCTTGATATTTTGTCGATTTCGGCCTCCTTGATGAGATAAACGCAATTTTATTAATTTGCCTTGATCCAAGTCTAATAGCAACCTTTAAAAAATTTATTATCATTAACTTGAGAAAGTTTTAAATAAGTACTAATTGATTCTTCATCAAAAAATATGAAAAAAAGTTCCTATAAACATGGGTATGGAAATGCATAGTTTTAGAGTTACAGGATGTTAAACCTTTTTAAAATTAGTTTTTTTGTAATTATCTTAAATACCATAATTTTATTATTCGAAATTGCTGTATGCTGGACTAATAGTAATAATATTTAGTAATAAATTAGGTAAAATAATTAATTTATTAATTTCATTTTTATTTTAATTTTATTAAATGTGATTAATAAAATTGCGTTTATCTGGAGGCCGAATTCGACAAAATATCAAGAGATAACTTTTAATTGGCATAACGTCCTACACAATGTTGATATTAAAAAAAAAAGTCAGTGGCGCACATGTTTTTTTTTTAATATTCCAGTGATAACCCATATGCACGCCCCTGATTAGTTTATCAACACTTTTTTAGCATTAAAATATGTAGCACTTATAGTAATTTTTACCCTCAAAATTTCATTCAAATCACTAAAAGTACGTGGTAGAAAATTTATAATAAATCGAAAAATTATTAACACTTTAACGCCCTGTAGCTACGAAACAAAGCAGAATCGGAACGGATGTTGTTATGAAAAATACATTTTATTTTTACGTTAGGAATCTCTCCACGAGAGATGGCACATGTTTTTTGAAACACCCTGTATAAATGAAATAGTATCAGAGTATGGGGGATGTAAATTTATACGTTATTATCTTCTTTGCTAAATAATGCTGATAAATACACACGGTATGTTCGTTAAAAGTTGGCGCTCCTTATTTCGCCACCATTCGATCGAGCCGCGCTGGATCCACGACTTCCGGACGTCACTTTTTCACATTTTTTGGTTCTGTCGCCGTACCGACTTACCTGCCCAAGCCGTGGTACTGTCTGAGGGCGGGGCTAGGGGCACGGTACGACCATCGGACGAGCTACTATTGCGGGTCCGCCAGGCTACTTTGCTTGTAGTTTCTCTGTGGCGTTACATTGAGGCAGACCACGGATCGTCACGTGTTCGAGTACTCGTAGTGTTCAGTCGCTAGTTCAATTTATTGGTGTTATTTATCAAAATGGCACCGACTATTAAACCTGCTTTACGGTCTCTGGATGAAAAAATAAACGCCATCCAAATGGTGAAATCGGGCAAAACTAAGGCTTCTGTAGCCAGGCAGATCGGAGTGCCGGAATCAACTCTGCGAGGCTGGTGTAAGAATCAAGTACGGATTTTTACCCAAGCAATTAACAACTGTGGACTTAGTACCGATGGTAGATTGCGACAAGAAGAAGTTTTATCGCCCAAGAGTTATGAAAGTTCCAGTAGTTCATCAGATACACACATGTTTTCTTCCTCAATTAGTTCACAAAGAAGCGTTTCGTATTTTTCGGGTACGGAGGAATTTGAAGATCAGCCGCTAGATTTGTCAACGAATGCCGCTAAATCACGCGAACCATTTACTTTTGGTAAAAACCTTGTCCCAGATATACTCGGTAGCAGAGACATCCGACGTTTAGAGAAATGGTACAGCAGTGGAGAAGAAGCAGATACATCGAACGTAACCAGTAAATTTTTTGACGAAAATCAACCTCCGAGCTTCTTCGATTGGTACAGAGCACCGTTCTGTACTTCAGGGAACAACAACGCCGATCTCGCTGCCTGGCAAGAGGCTCTGGTCAGGCGAATGTATGCTGGTAGGCAGAATCAACATCAAAGCTACGAGGAGTGGTGCGAAGCTGCATTTTCGACGTCATCAAGTAACGCGGATGTAACCACCACTCCAAAGGAACCTATAATCCAGCTATATAGGTATTTTTGGAAATGGTACGCAACTTTGCTCTCTAATTCAAAAATCGATGGCGCGAACGTGTATGACAATATATCTGTGATAAGTGATCCCGAGGTAAATATTTCAAAACGTGAGGCAATACGTCATGGTGAACGTTTCTTAACGTGGCTGAAGGTGTGCGGTAAAGACACTGTAACTACGGATGAGTTTTTTGCGTTGCACGACTTACTGGAACACCTAAAGAATAAAAACATATTAGTTGTAAATCAGTAGCTATCTTAAAAAACCTGGTGCCAAAGTATTTTAAACATTACAAAATAATAAGTATACAACATACTGATAATTGTATTTTATTGTTCCTATATTAATAGTTAGTAATGTATTATAATATAATTTAATGAAACTGTTTTTTTTTGAAATTCTATATTTGTACATAAAAAATGTTTGTAATATATCTGATATTGTATATTCTTATTTGATATTTTAGCAGATAGACTGTGGATTCAAATAAAAAATGTTAAGAACGTTACTTATTAGTTTAATTTTTACAACATTTAACATCAAAAAATTGCTAAACTTTTTCCAAACATTCATGGATGAAGAAACACAAAAAGTACATTTATGCCCAGAAATTTTTGTTTAGAAACCTTATTCTATTTTAAGACAAAGAAATATTCTAGCCTTGTATATACAGGGTGGGTCAATGGAAACTTTCCACCCCAATTTTTCTCGTTTAAAATTAAAATTTGGAAAAACACTCGGACACATCGATTTAGTTTTCGAGGCGAAAAAATATCATAAAATCACTTTCACACCTACAATCTCCAAGGCGGGGGTTGATACCTCATGTGAAAGGTCTTTCAATTCCCTTTTTAATGATATAATATCGTATACTTTCGTTCAGTAATTTTAGAGATTTATTGATTTAATTTAAGTGGTGAAAAAATCGGTTTTTATTTTTTTTCTCTCTCTGTATGTATTTTTTTGGCAAACTGTGTATACTAAAAATTTTAACTAATCAATCTGCATCGATCCACGCCCAAAACTCTTTCAATTCGAAATAAGCGAAAAAAGCTCAATTTTGACCGCGAAAATTTTTTAGAAATTTTAAAAAATAAAAAATTGTTTTAAGCTTTTTTATTTAAAAGCTTAACTTTTAGTATACACAGTTTGCCAAAAAAATACATACAGAGAGAGAAAAAAAATAAAAACCGATTTTTTCACCACTTAGCTGATAAATTAAAATCTACTTTAAATCAATAAATCTCTAAAATTACTGAACGAAAGTACATGAAATCTTATATCATTAAAAAGGGAATTGAAAACCTTTCATATGAGGTATTACTCGGCCCCCCTTTCCATTTAAGAATTTAGGGGTGGCGCCCGCCTTGGGGTTGTAGGTGTGATACTGATTTTATGATATTTCATTTTCCCCCTTGAAAACAAAATCGACGTGTTCGGGCGTTTTTCCAAATTTTAATTTCAACGAGAAAAATTGGGGTGGAAAGTTTCCATTGACCCACCCTGTATGCATCTATATATTAGGATTTTTTTATATTGATGAAAAAAGAATGAATGATATTAAAGTTTTTCAAGCATACAGGGTGTTCAAAATTCTACTCCGAACTCTCTAAAATATAAAATAATTTTCCTTGTTTCCTAACCTAACACTCTGTATATTTTTCTTTTATTAGATGGAGAATTAAAAAATAAACATTTTTTGTATTTACGATTTTTTTGAAAATATCTCCAAACATTTTATGGAAAAATAAATATATTTTACTTAAACAGGGTACAAATTCGAATCCCATCAATAATAGCCGCCCACACATGGAAAGGCTTCGCCTCAAGAGGCCGGGCCTTTTACCCAAAATACCATAGTTTTGTGAGAAAGGCAAAGGTCCGCGGATTTTGCCTTTTTTGTTATGGTCTTTTGGGTACAAGTTGGTACAAGGCCTTTCCGTGTATAGGCAGCTTTTAGGATCTCGAAAACTATAGGAGATGCAAGTATGGTTAATCTTTTTAATATCTTTCTATTTTTGAATATGCTATTTTCCCAACTATTTTCGGTTCAGTTTCTATTCTGTAATGTCTAATAGGTCACAGATTTACGTAGACATCAATTATTAGAAATAAGTTATAAGGGCGAGTGACATGAACTCACTTGCGGAAGATGTCAGAGTTCCAAACCTAATTTATACGGGGTTGTTCACCACATACGACACGGAGTATGGTAGCTAAACGATTAGATTTTTACAAATAGTAAGTTTTGTGTTCGTTGAAGGACTATTAGAGCTACAATTTAAAAATATTTTTACAAGATACAGAGTGTCCCAAATAAATATAAAATATCAAAGTTGTATTTTTTTAAATGGAACACCCTGTATATTATTGCATTTTTAGTTTCTACGATTAAAATAAAGGTAAATTTGATTAAGGTTTATTACACTTAAACCTCACCGTTTTTAAAATATTTTCAATTTTGTGAAATTGCAGTATAAATTTTAAGGCTTATCATTTCTCCGAGGGTATCAAAGTTTTTAATACTAAATATTTACTGAAGTTTATTTATTGATCAGTTATTGTGTTGCAATAATAAAAATTATACTACCTTATACAGAGTGTCTAAAAATTTATTTTAAATAATTACTAGTTTTAAACGGCAATAACTTGTTTAATTTAAATAGAACACCCTGTATATTTTATGAGAATCAGATGCACAATTTAATTGTCTATCAAATTGTATTATACCACTTTTCACCTATCCTTTCAAGTTTTCGTAGAAAATGGATTTTCTTGTAATTTAGACCTCATTTATCAATATACCCATGGAATATTGCCATTTTAGATTGTTTTTAAAACAATAAATGTACAAAATGTACAGGCTAGCAATATTATCGTTTTACTAAAAACGATAATATTACTAGCCCATTTGTATGCAAAAAGAAAACTATTTAAATCTTTATAAAAGAGTATACCATTAATTAAATATACCACCAGTATTTCCGCCCAAATACTAATTAATTACATACTTAATTGTGTTCGTTAATAAATTATTCTAAATAAATGTGGATTTGAATCAGAAATCAATATAATAATATGTTATGAAAATGAACGTCTCTGTTGTTATAAATAAGCATTTGTCAAAATGAAATATAATTTTTAAGGTGTTAGTTTTTTTACCACACTGTCTAATACACATACATAATTCAGTTTCTTAGTATTTGGAGCAATCATTATTAATCAACGCAAACAGTCAATTAATGTAGTTTGAATACTGGAATTCTGGAATCATATTAATTGGTCTTCTTTAACAAATATTGAAACAGTTTTTTTTTATATTTTAATGAAATAAACGAACTATATCGACAATATTAGTATCTGTACTCTTTAAAAATTTGGTACATCTTTTAAAATAATCTAAAATGTCAGTATTGCATGGGTATATTGATAAATGAGTTCTAAATTACAAGAAAATGCATTTTCTACGGAAACTTGAAGAGATAGGTAAAAAATGGTGTAATACAATTTGTTAGACAATTGAATTGTGCATCTGATCCTCATAAAATATACAGGGTGTTCTATTTAAATTAAATAAGTTATTGCCGTTTAAAGCTAATAATTATTTAAAATCAATATTTAGACACTCTATATAAGGTAGTAAAATTTTTATTATTGCAACACAATAACTGATCAATAAATAAACTTCAGTAAATATTTAGTATTAAAAACTTTGATACCCTCGGAGAAATGAAGCCTTAAAATTTATACTGCAATTTCACAAAATTGAAAATATTTCAAAAATGGTAAGGTTTAAGTGTAATAAACCTTAATCAAATTTACCTTTATTTTAATCGTAGAAACGTAGAAACTAAAAATGTAATAATATACAGGGTGTTCCATTTAAAAAAATACAACTTTAATATTTTTTATTTATTTGGGACACTCTGTATCTTGTAAAAATATTTTTAAATTGTAGCTCTAATAGTCCTTCAACGAACCCAAACTTACAATTTGTAAAAATCTAATCGTTTAGCTACAATATTCCGTGTCGTATGTGGTGAACAACCCTGTATACAGGGTGTTCCATTTAAATGCAACTTTGATATTTTTTATTTATTTGGGACACTCTGTATCTTGTAAAAATATTTTTGAATTGTAGCTCTAATAGTCTTTCAACGAACCAAAAACTTACAATTTGTAAAAATCTAATCGTTTAGCTACAATACTCCGTATCGTATGTGGTGAACAACCCTGTATAAAAATTTACTCTCTACAGGGTCCGGCAATAGTGCGTAGGGTCTGTAGCTCAAAATTGGGAATTTTGCTTAACTGCAACCCTTAAGCATGTATTAGGATGTATTTCAGCAAAATATTTTAACTTCTACGACGGTAGTAGGGTGGTTATAACTAATAACTAACACTCTAGGGTGACTTAAAAACGTGCGGGTGGATTGGGATGATTTTTTAAAAATAGCCTGTATATTATTGCATTTTTATTTTTTAGCTTCCTGTCAGATCATTTTACACAATCCTAAGATATTAGTAAATATATTTCGATAGTTTCAGAGATATTAATAAATAAATTAAAAATGTATATTTTTGAGCGTTTCTTAAAAAAAAATATTAAAAATACAAGAACTGTCCTGAAATCAAAACTATAGCAGGTATTTACTTTAGATGGTCTATACTTACTTTGCTATAAATATCATAATCTTAAATCATACAGAGTGTTCAAAATTCTACTCCAAACTCTCTAAAATATAAAATAATTTTTCTTCGTTTTTTTTTAAATGGAACACTCTGTATATTTTTCTTTTATTAGATGGAGAATCAAAAAATAAAGATTTTTTGTATTCAGAGTATTTCAACATTTTTAACAGTTTCGCAGATCTCGCATGTTCACTACACTAGCGTGTCATTATACAAAAAACCCTGTGTACCCATGTCTTGAAGCAGCAAATGCACATATAAATTTTGTGCCAAAATGAGTTTATCTATAATAGCAGTATTTCTACAGCATATTCTACACAACTTTATAGCTAATAATTATAATGATTCAACTATTATACATGGATTATAGTAACAATAAATTGTGATTATAGTCTTCGGCCAAGTTTCATTTTTATTTCGATTTTTTTCAAATAATTTCTGAACTAAAGTTGATATTTGTGTGAAATTTGGTGTCTTGGTGTTTTTTGACATGAGAAATTTAATTTCGATGTGTTATGACTCCTACTTGTAGGGGGCTACATATATTTTTTTACTGTTTTGAAGAGTAACAATTTTTCGTCCGTACCTGTATAAAATTACTGATAGAAAAAATATACATTTTCGTCATTTTTTACGTAAAAGAGGTCTCTTAGTAAAAATCGCTAAGAGCAACCGTTCTCCAGGTATTTGGAATGGAAATAGTCAATACATGTCATTATTATCAAAAAATCAACATGCTGACTATACAGGTGTCCCAATATTTTGTGGATGAGGGTGGGCGATTTTTAGGGTTGTTTTGTTAAAC